GCAGCAAAGCTCTGCATGGTAACACTCAACGTAGGCACAAGCATGACATCGCAACACTTCCTACACAACGCGGCGTCGATGCCGCCTTCACCCATGTAGTACTCGTCTCTCGCCAGCATGTTCTCGTAGAGCAGGTCGTTCGGATCAGAAGCCTGCGCTCTTTCCAGACCCTCGACGTTCCGCTGTGGGTACTGCTCTGCTGGGTGTCCTTTTGTGAACGCGATAAGGTCTTCGAGGTTACGCACGTTATGTGGGTTTGTGGCGAGGGAGGAGAGGTAATCGTTTATCGCAGTCTTCATATCTGTGTTTAGGACGATGTCTTTTGCTTCTTGCGGAAGGGCTTCCCAGCTTTTAGTCCCGGTGACTGAGATGTCGCGGACGATGGTTGCGCCGGCGGTTTCCAACAGTTTGAGCGTTCTTTCGAATGCTGTCTTCTTGCAAGGCTTCAGGGTTTGCATGTCGCTGAGAGAGCTGGGGATACCGATTCGTATGCCGTGGAGGTGGGGAATTGAATTTGCGGTGTTGAGGTCCTGGACTATTTTCTGTTTCGTGGCTGAGGGCAGATGGTCGCTGTGTTGAACCATACCTATAAGGAGGAGCGCAGCATCTGAGACTGTTCGCGTGAGCACACCAACAGTATCCAGTCTCTTAGACGCATGTATGAGACCTTCAGAGGAGAGCAGATTACGCGTCGGCTTGAACCCTACAATCCCAGATTTCTCCGCCGGAGAAACAATCGAGTAACACGTCTCCGTCCCCAGCGCTGCAAAACACATCCCCAGTGCAACAGCCACCGCACAACCCCCCGAACTCCCACTCGCTTTCATACCAGGGTAGTATATACCCGTTGTCTGACCACCTCTTCCACTCCAGCCTGAACACCCGCTCGTGGAACGGAAACCAGCCCATTCGGCCATGTTTCCTTTGCCCAGGATTACCATTCCTGCTTTTCGTACTGCGCTTACGACGTCGGCTTCGCGTGATGGTTTGGCGCCGACTAGTGCCATGCTGCCGCATGTTGTGGATGTGGCGTCGAGAGTGGGTATGTTGTCTTTTAGCAGGATGGGTATGCCGTGGAGGGGACCTCGGGGGCCTTTTGAGAGGCGCTCGGCATCGAAGTGTTGGGCGGTGGATGTAGCGTCCGGGTTTATCTCTGCTACGGCGTGGAATGTGGAGTTTGTTTCGCGGATTCTAGTTAGACAGGCTGATGTTAGGTCGACGGCTGTGAAGAGGCGGTTTTGATAGCCGTTCTGGATTGTGGGGAGCGTGAGGTGGTCTAGACGTGGGATATTGGGTTGTGCATTGGTGGGTGTGCTGGCAGACCCGCTGGCCAATATATCAATGTATGGGGTTGCCATTTGTGCGGTTGTTCTAGACCTGCTACTGTATGAAGTCTTTTCGTATCGTTGACGTGGTGGGAACTTTATGTGTTCAGAACATTCGCTGTGCACTCTACTGCTTTCTCACTGGGCCTTGTAGGGCGGTCGTGGCTTCTTTGTCGAAAATATATTGTGTAATGCTACAGCGTTGTTGAATCTGGAACGACATTGACACTTATTATTCATGACCAATGCGAATGTTCTGAGCGACATGAAGACGCCTGTATTGATATCTAGACCCGTGAATTTAGCGTAGATTACAGCTTCATCTCGTGAAGACTTCCTAAATGACTGCCATGTCGGCCTCCGCGCGCTCCATTCGCCTGTCTCAGTCCAACACAATGACTTCGGCTTCATCGCTCGGCATCTGTCTGACACGTTCAAGCTTCCTCTTCTTGCGCAGATCAACTGAGCGTATCTCGATGAAGTCGTCGTCGCAAGCTATAGCTCGACTATCGACGTTGTGGTCGTCGCCTGCCACGGTGGAGGTATCGGAATGCTCGCGCTTCATGCGTACACGGGTCTCTTCTTGATCCTAGCTGATGTCAGCATGTAAATTGGTAGGGTGGGTAATGGGGATCATCCTACTCTGAAGCGGCGGACGATAGACTCTAGTTGTTCCCTGTTCAACTGCCCGAGCACCATATCATCGCTATCGAGAACATCGACTGGATCAGGCGTACGTTCGATTATGTGAAGGTCTTTGAGCGCAGCTATAATGTCAATAGTTAGTGTTTGCTTTCTGTTGACCTATATCTACAAAGCTTACCGAGTGAGCGATAGTAGAAGTGGAATGTCGCAAACGGTTCTCCGCCATCAGCATAATCCGCATCGTAGTACTGAATCTCTTCTGTGGGCTCTGTATCTCCGAGACTGCGCACAAATTAGCTCGTAGAAACATTCTGGTTGAGTCATACATACACTGCCTGATGCGACAGCGACTCGCCCTTGATAGCCTTCTCGTTGACCGTATCCAGCTTCTCCAACTCCTTCTGTACGAAGGCCATCTTCGGATTGCGTCTCGCGTTGTCGAGGAAGTAGAACTCGCAGGTAATGATACCTATAGGCTGTAGTTTGCTCTGCATGTCTTCTGGGATGCGCCCCTCGCTGTACTCTCCTGCGTTTCTCTTAGTATACCGTCATTTAATGGAAGGTGAAGATGACTTACTGATATCAAGCGGCGAGAAGCGATAGTGCTGTGTGAACCAGTCCTTACCATCGTTCGATATCGGTCCAGAGCTGACGTGGCCATTCGCGTCGTAAAGCTCGTCCGGGCGAATAAGCGGCTCATCAACATCCTTGCCGTCGATGGTGACGATCATAGACACCGGGCGGTCGATAGGGAAAGGCGCCTTGAACGAGTAGTGGATTTCAAATGTTGAGTCTGACTTGGCTTCGATGTAGCTTTCGGAGATAGCTTCCGATACGGTGGTGTGGCGGTCGATGTACTCGCGAAGCGGGTTGCCATCAGCTTGGACATGAACTTCGAGCCCGGGGGCCTCATCGACGATTGCCATTGGGGAAGGTACGACGGTATTGGTATATGAGAGAAGAAATGATGGTAAGAGGAAGCCGCGATAGGTCTACGATGCGTAGAATGTGTTGAAGGTGTGTTCTGGTAAGAAGACTTCACCTCGACTGAATATGTCGGTGCTGGAGCGCAGAAGCCGAGGTGAAGGCGAGTATTGGAAGGTGAGAGATGGTGGCCCAGTATTTCTCGGTTCCGACGCGTCACGAAAACCACGCGCTGCAGTACGAGAGGTGAACGTGGCTGTCGCGTTGGACGCTCCTTCCCTTCAAGTGGCCTCAGATTTGACGTGTATTTCTAGCGCCCCGAACTGTAGAATGAAAAACTAACATGTAAAGATAGGCATGAGTAGATGAATAAGAAATAGATAATCGTCCGTTACTGCTACCAGCATTGCCGCCAATGGCAACCGAGGGATGACACCGGATCCCGAAGCCTTAGAAACATTGCAATGACCTAGGATTGCAAGATCGAATGATCGATGAGGCTGAAAGATGGGCACGTTCAATCGTCCAGAGCCACAACCTCATCATCAGGACCCGGAGCGCGACGTAGCCTCTTCACAATCGGATGTGCCGGCTGACTACCGATCCACTCGACCTCGTCACCAACTAGGGTATCCTCACTGCCTTCTCGCTCTTCCTCGCGTTCGCGCTTGATAATGATTGCTTTCTGGTTCTTTTCCTGTTGGTGGTCAGTACAAGACTCATGAATCGCGTGCCTCCAACCTGTGATGCGACTTACACGCATGCTCCTAACCACTGCTCTCAACTCTTCCTCGTTCATGTCTTCTGGATCCCTGTCTTCGGCCTCTGACTCTGACTCTGGCTCCGGAGATGGGCTTGGGGTACGCGGGATGACGCCGATGGACTTGAGCGCATCTGAGCGATAATCAGCTATCATCACGAATTAACTATGTATGCGTGTGACTGACCGGTCGACCTATAGTAGAAGGTGAACGTTGCGAAAGGCTCGTTTTCAGTTGTCTTGACCTCGTTGTAAGTGATGGTATCACGTTGTTCGGGTGCAGAGAGACTGGTGGCCATGTCAGCGATCAATTTTCATCCAAAATTTGAGTGGGAAGGACATACCTAGTCTGATGAGATAGCTGATCGCCCTGCATCGCAGCCGCCTTGTGCAATGCCTTCTCGCTGAGAACATCAAACTCGTTGCTAGCAAGCTGAGGTACTTCTGTCGGTCTCACTGCTTCCAGATGCTCGATGAAGTAGAAGTAAAGCACAATGCGGCCAATGGGTGACAGTCGATCCGCGAGGTCCTTGGTCATCGGGGTGTTGGTCTCGTCTATGTATTGTCAGTCATATTGAAGAGCTCGCTAGACGTAGAGGCTTACCAGTTCTCAGCTCAGCGAATTGGAAGCCCTGGGTGAAGCTGTGTCCCCCAGTCGACGAAGTGGATCGTGAGCAAAGGTATCCCTCGCACTCTTCCTTTCCACCCCACTCGACGAATGGTGCTTGCACGTAGTTACCGTCTAGCAATACATCCATTTGCACTGCCGAGGGCGGGGTGAAAGGCGGACGAAACAAATAACGAATGGAGAAGTTGGCAGCTGGCGGCGCTTCGATATACCTGGATGCAGAGGTCGCAACCCCATCATCTTCGACGATTCCATGTTCGTACTCTGGTAGTGCTGCCGCATCCACCTCAATAGTGACGTCAAGACCTGGGATACCTGTTGCGATGGCCATGGCGTTGGATTGAAGATAGGAGGAAAGTGCGCGAGCGATTAAGAGAAGTGTGTTCCTGCTCAAAGAGTAGAGAAGCCGGCCACAAGGATCGCTCTCGCTTGAGGCTCGCAGTTGCTCAGGTGAGAGAGAGAGAGAGATAGACCAGTTTACAAGCCCACAAAAAAAAACGAGAAGGATGCTGAAATCAGAAAAATTGAACCAACTCTTGCTGGTACTCAAGTTGACTACGATGAGATTACGGAACAGTATACTGCATTAGAGTAAATCCGGAACACCCTCTGCATACGCCAGCCATCAGAATGGTGCCAAAAACACCTGGAAACCCTTCGACAAATGCACATACGAGCCAAATTCTGCCACGAGCATGGTATAGATACCGATGCATCCCTATGTCAGATCGATAATCTCGGCACCATTCTCATCGAGAGTAACGGGGATCCGTCTGCGCTTGGCGGACAAGAAAGTTACGTCGTCATCGTCGTTGTCCTCGTTGATGATGGTGCTACTTCGTTCCCGCTTGATACCCTCTCGCTTGATGACTGGAGCGGCGTCCCTCTGCTCACGCTGGAGACGAAGGAGCTCGCGGGATTCTTCCAAGGTAAGGGTGTTGATGTCGCGTTCTTCGAGCGGTACCGGACTAGGGGTTCGTGGGATGATGAGGAGGGATTTGAGAGCAGCTAAACGGAATCGGCATTAGTAGGAATACGGCGACTACGAACAGCTCACACACCTCTCGAGCGATACTTGAAAGTGAACTCTGCGAACGGCATTTCGTCGATTTTCGTGGTTCTACACGTGCTGTACGCCTGACTGACTTCTCGGGCGCCGTAGCTAATCACAGTATAAGTATTTGTGAGTATTGGGAAAGAATCTCGCTGACCTAGCCTGATGGGATAGCGCGCTGCCCTTGAGGGCTTTCTCTGGTACAACACCGAGAGTCTCGTTCTTCTGCGCTTTAGCTTTGGGGGCTGACGATCCGCTAGCTGTCACCCAGTACAAGCGTAGAGATATAACACCAACGCTGTGGAGCTTCTTCTTCAGTGAGTCCTCAAATTTGCGTGTATCACCGTCATCTGAAGCAAAAGTCAGCGACCCGGTGACTCAAGAGACAGGGAAAGACGTAACCATCAATTTCGAGCTGCGAAAAACAGAACTTCCTCACGAAGTATCCGCCATCATCGAATTCCCGCGATCCCTTGAAGACATACGTGCTGTTCCAGCGAATAGAACTGCCAGGGTTGAAAACAGCAGAGTCGGCATACTCGCCGTCAATGTCCAACTCGACTAACATGGCGTGACGTATGCTGAACCCAGGAGAGAAGCAGTATTTGACTTCGAAGTTGTCACCAGACGAGGCTTCGATGAATTTAGTGACCTCACTGTCCGAAGTTTGATCATCGTCGTCGACGTGCTCTTCAAGCGGGGCGCCCTTGACGAATACTTCGACTTTAAGTTTAGGAAGCGCTTTGGCGATCGCCATCTTGAAGACGGCGGCAGGCTGAAGACAGAAACGAGTGAGTAGAACAGCAGGTGTCGGGCGTGCTGGGACAAGGTCCAGCAGCGTTTATGGCCGCGAGTGAACCGCAGTGATGAAGGTGAGGATGAGACGTGATGAGCGCGGCGTAGGTGCGACGTCAGGTCCGGGGTCGTGATTACCGCCGTGGATTCGCGCCGCGGCGCTAGCGCGCGTTGCCACGTGAAAGTGCCAAACAATGCGTTCAGGTGGAAAGAGCATCCCGCCATACCATAGTCAGCAACGTCCAGGTGATGCGAAGCGCACATTAAAGAAACAGTCAGTATATACACAAAAAGTCTATTCATCTCCATACTCCAGTCCAATCCAGCTTTCCGCCCACCTATATACCATCCATCCATTCCCATCCGCTCTCTCAGTACAGAGCATGGTATCATTCCTCCCTCCCCCAGGTAACAAAGTAAAAAAAAAAGAGTGCAATCCGTCGCCGCACAGTAACCCCTAAGTCGGGTACATGACTTGTAATAATGACAAAACATTACGCCCCCAAAACAGGCGAGAATGGGAATGCACAAAAGATCAGAGGTTCGGGGTCTTCTTTGGGGTGGATGTCGCAACCGGTACGCCAGTGCAATGATGGAACCGCCATGCCATATGCTGTTGTACGTGAATAAAGACTGAAAGGAAACGCTATGCAGTCGTTATCATGGGAATATGCCTCCATGCAATGACATCATTCGCGGGTATGGATCAGGCCGTAATTGTTGGGAGATCGCCATGGTAGTAATGCTGTGATGAATGGGAATTGTAGTGTGGCGGAATGGTGATGACGGTCGATGGTCAAAGGGCGTTGCTGTGTCGATCTACCATGCGCCTATGCTTGCAGGGGAGCCAGTTCCGTAGTTTCCGCTCAGCAGCTGCTGGCGGATAGACATGGCATCGTTGGACCCGCCGGCGGCGGGATTGGGTGTCTCTGCGCCCATCCAGCCGAGTCCTCCGCGCAGCTCGTTGACTGCCTCCTGCATCTTTCCGCCCGAGATCTCATTGTGTTTCGCGATCTTCTCATCCCATCCGCCGTATTGGAGCTGTATTCCGCCCGCCTTCTTTGCTGCCTCCTGGATGACCATCGCCCATGCCTTGGCCATCTCCTCGTACGCCTCTTGCTTGTGACGGTTGTGTTGGTACGTATCCCAGTTGGGTAGACGATGGATGATCTCGGTGGCGCCGTCGAGGAAGGCGAGCGATGTGGCGGGCTGATGTTCGTGCGGCGGGAGGAAGTGAGGTGTGAAGTCTTTGAGGGAGTCGAGCAGTTCATCGAGTTGTTGCCGCACCCTATTGTATGCATAGTCTGATGACGCACGGCCGCCAAAGGGGAAGGCTGCCTGGAACGCCGCCTCGTACTTTGACAGGACTTCCAACGTTGACTGTATGCTTGGCCGGGGCGCGGTTGTGACGACTTCGTTGCCGATGTCCGGGTGGCGCTGGCAGATGGACTGCAGCAGGTTGCGCATCTCGTCGGGGCTGAGCGTCTCGAGGAGGCGAGGGAGAGGGAGTGGGCGGCCGGAGATGTTGGTTCGCATGCGCTTCATGCCTCGTGGCGCGGGTCGTGGGAGTACGGCGGAGGATGTGGTGGGCGATGCACTCATGCGGTCGTCGTCGCCGGCGCTGCCATCGTCCTCGGCTTTCCGCTTGCGGCCAGTCATGGCGGCGGAAGGGGCGTAGGCTGCGTGAGGGTGAAAGTTAGTGGCTGACATGGAGTTGAGGTGTTGCGAGCAGCGAGTGGACGTACGGTTGCGGGAGGGAGAGCGGCGGTTGTTGTTCAAGAGATGAGGGGGCGTGAATGTCTGCTGGTACTGCACACTCATGACGAGAAAGGGCCCGCAAACGCAGTGATTTCGCACGCCTGCTTTGTTGGGAGCCGGATAGCGATGTCTGGGTGGTGATGCAATGGGCGGGCTCTCGTTGCGTGGGCCGTGGGCGGTGTCGGGTGTTGTGTTGTTGCTGTGGTGGAGACAGCAGAGCCATACGAAGGCCCAAGAATATGCTAACAACCGGCAAGTCCGTGCACCCAACCAATCACGTCACATGTCACCGATGTCAACCACGATAATTGCCCTTTCATCTGGGGTTGAGGGTGGGTTCTCTCGCCATTTTTGCTTTTTCCATAAAAATCGCCCCTTCATGCCCTGCCTTCAGGTGGTCCCTCATCACAAAAGAAACCGCAGCGGCTAAGGCGGCACTATCTATATCGCATCACATATCACCATGCATTTCTGGAAAAATGTACGTGGGGGATCCTCAGCCATGGTGCAAGCCCACAACATCAGATCTAGTGAATTTCTATTCAGGACGCATTAACGCTGTGCCCCTTCTTGAGGTGCACAGCGTCGATAGCTCCTTGCGTGCGCCTGAGACAATGGCATGTCCGGTGGCGTTTTCATTCAACCGCATAAAGGAGAACGCCATGTGAGTGCCATACTTACCTGCTGAACGATGATGCTACCAAATACTCCCACCAATACCATAATATACAAGACGTGCTTCACGCATTACAGGTACAGGGACTGAGCGGCGACCAAATCCCTGCGGACGAGCTCAAGTGCTGCAGTGAACTTTTGCTCAAGCTCTTCGCTTCCCATGACCTTGGAGGCCTGGGCCATTTGTCGGAGCAACTCTTCTAACCGTCTGAACAGACGAATCAGACTTCCCTCGTACACATCGGTCATTTTGCTGCTCGAAGTTAGTTGCCGTTCAACGCGGTAACAAAGCGAACATACCAAATTTGTGCAAACGTCGCACCCTTCGACCAGGCGAAGACGACCTCCATCAGCTCGTATTTGAACGACTTGAGGTACTCCTCCTCGTTGACTGTCAGCTTGCTCTCTTGTGACATCTTCGCGATAACCCTAGCTTGCTGTTGGATTTCGCGGTATGGCTTGGCAAGCTCTTCTTTGAGCGCTGGCACTTCTTGCGTCTTCTCCTCGAAGATGAAACAGCTAAGACAAGCGACGCACTGTTCTGGCGTCAGCTCATTAAAGAAACGGTTGAAGAGCAGCTCGCTAAGCACGAGCTCGTCACCAGTGCTGATTTCGCAAGCGACACGGGCCTTTAGCTGCACGACATCGGCTTCGTCGATGAAGCCGAGGCGTCGCAACACACGTTTCCTGCTCTTCAACTCGTCTAACTGAATGACCGATAAAGCGTTCGCAATCTCTTTCCTGATGTTCTTGATCTTCTCACCAATCGCAATCTTCTGCGCATATTGGCTGTACAGTTCGGGTAGCCTAGGCGAGTTGTGGAGAGGGTTCGAGAGAAGACGAGACTCCAGTACTTCGATTTTCTGCACAATATTAGACAAAAATGCAGATTCTTGATGGTGAAGCTTACCCTTAGCAGCCTCTTGAAGCTGTCGTCTTTAATGCCCATGTTCTCGATTGGGTCCAAGATAGCAATTCCGTCAGGGAAGCGCTTCTTGACCTCGCTCAGTGCTTTGCGAACATTGTTCCGTTGCTCTGTCGACTTAAGCTCGTTGGGGAGGAAGACACGGAGATGACCAATAGATTCGATGCAGTTCAGAACCACAGGGACAACCTCCATCTTGCCCTTGTCTCCCGCCGCAGGTGGGCGCACACCAGGCGGTAGGCCGTCGTTCACCGCTGGTACAAACTTAGTGTCGCTGCTGACCGGTAGTAGAACGTCGACAATGTAGGATTCTTCAGGTGGCAGAACTTCGCCCTTATTAGCCTTGCGAGCCGTGTACGCTACAACAGCACCCCAGCCGAAATCATAGTCCTTGAACTTGATCTTGACCATTCGGCCACCCTGTAAGAACTGCAAGCAGTAGTTCGGCTGCATGATCACGTCACGCATGTCCTTAGTGTGGTTGTCCAGTTGCTGTCGCAGATTGTAGTAGTCCTTGATAGCCGGCTCGTCAACAATATTGGTGTTCGCCTTTTCTTCTTCAAGCTTCTCGAGTTGCTTCTCCAAGTTGGAGACCCCTGCCGTGCTCTGGAACTGGAAGAAACACCTCTCCAGCATGAACTCGGGGGAGATGCCTTCCACTCGCATGAGGTTGAGAATCATGTTGTATCCCAAATGGAAAGCTGAGTTGAGGTTATCCTGTTGACCGCGGACAATCTCCTTAGCCACAGCAGGCTCCATCTGCTCGCCAATCATCATGATGACAATGCCACGGTCATCGAGACCACGACGCCCAGCTCGGCCAGACATTTGGATGAACTCAGAAGGCGTGACCCATCGCTGCGATACTCCGTCAAACTTGCGCACACTGGTAAAAACGACTGTCTTGGCCGGCATATTCAATCCGATTGAGAAGGTTTCGGTCGCGAAAAGAACCTTGATCAGTCCTTCTTGGAACAAGATTTCGATGGTCTCCTTCAAGATCGGCAGAAGACCGGAGTGATGAACACCGATACCTCTCCGGAGAAGGGGGAGAATGTGCTGAATTTGGGGTAATTGTCGGTCCTCCTCTGACAACATCTCGATGGCGCTGTTGAAGACCTTGGTAACCATGGCCTTTTCGGAATCGTCGTTGAACGCGAGCGAGCTCATAGAAAGCGCGTAGTTCTCGCATTCCCTCTTGCTAAAACTGAAGACGATGACCGGGTTGTAGCTCTTGACCATGATCATCTTGACAATCTTGTAGATATCCGTCTGGTCCTTGTTGCCGCCCGTGTTGGTCTTCTTGTCCTTGCCCTTGCCTTTACGCTTCGCCATGAAGTCCTTGGCCTCGCTTCCGCCCTTGTCCGCGATGGAAGACATGGCTTTCTGGAAGTTCTCTTCGCGGAACACACCCTTTTCATCTACCACCAAATGTATACCGTCGGCACCAGCGGGGAAGAAATAGTGTTGTAGGGGCGTCGGACGGAAATCGGTGTAGACAACGTGGCACGGCTGGCTATGGGTCTTGGTGATCCATTCCGCGAACTGCATGGCGTTGGGAATGGTGGCGGAGAGGAAGACGTAGCGGACCTTGTCTGGCAGAA